CCCCCCCCTCCCCCTCCCGGGGCGCCTGGGACTTGTAGTGCCGGCCGCGGGCCCCGCAGAGCAGCCTCCCGATGACAGGCCAGGGAACTACGGCACCCACCATGCACCTGGCCTCAGGGCGCCCCGGTGCACCACCTCCTGCAGGACCAGTGGCAGGCGGCATCCCCGGCAGACGCCGCGGCGTGGGTCGCGCGGGCGGACGTCACACGGCCTAGGACAACACAGCCCGTCCGTCGGGGGTCTTCTTCGTGGCCGCCCACACCTTTTCCGGCCGCGTCTAGAATGACAAATGAAACAACCCTGGTCAATGCGAGCCATTCACAAAGCCAGGCTGCCAGTCGTTAAGGGACGCGTGTCCCTGCCGCGCGCGCAAAAGGGGGAGAGGAGACGGCAGCGCTGGACCACGAAAGCTTTGAAGGGGGGGGGGGACGGGGGGGGGGTCTGACCCACCCCAGCCTTGCAAGGGTATCCCAGTAACCTGTTTTCTCAGGGGCGGCACTTTGCACCTCTGCAGGGATAGGGGCCTCCTCGTCTCAGAGATTAAACCTGGGCCTGGCAGTTTCTGTAATTAATTCCAAAAGGGGCTGTCTTCATGGTTTCCCATTCAAACTGGCCAAACCTGCAGGGAAGGGAGAGGGTATTGCAGAAAGATAGGCTAAGCCTCTCCCCCCTTTTGAGGCAAGGGAAGGCACCATGTTTAACATTGAAGGCCCCCCCCCCAGGATTTGCCCCGCCAAACGGACGGGTTGAGGGTGGATTAAACCCGCGCAATCAGATGCCAACATCTGGCAAGCATCACCCCCCCACCCCCAACCCGTCGCTACTGGCCAAAAACGCAGATTTAAAAGAGACCTGCAAAAGACTACTACTTACTGGGAAATGTGCAGCATGGGTGGCCGAGTGATCACCGAGGCGCCCATATCCCATGGTATGTGAGGCCCTGCCACACTGCGCATGTGCACAGCTGCCTCGCCCCGCCCTTCATCCCATCGCTTCCCCCTCGGCATGTGATTGTGGCGGGGAGCAAATGCGGTGCGGATCAGGGATCTGTCTAATCTTGCTGCCACACTTCAGTTTACTGCGGCTTGTGGCTTTTCCTGCTAGTGTGACTGGGACCGAAGTCTACCTGATACTTGATGGGAAATATTCCAAGCAGTAACACAGACAGTACTTCAGCCTCTTAGCTAGAAGATGAGAAAAAGCAGCATGGAAAGAGGAGAGCATATGGGGTCTACCAGGAAGGAAAGAGGAAATAATGTGGGGAAGGTGATGTGGGGGGGGGGGATGAGGCACATCGCCCAAGTCTTTGCAGGTTACCTACATCATGTACATCCCTGGTTCTTCTTCTCTCCACCCAGAGAAGTCTGAGAAGAGAGAGTGTGGGCGGTGGCTACTCAGGTCTGCTATCTGGTGCAATTTGCTACCTGGTGTGAAACCTGTGTGTAGAAAGAAGTGGGTACTGCACGCCCAAGCTATGCCCTCAAAGCAGGTGGTTTCACAGGGCACGAGGGAGTTTTAATAGACTCTGCTGGCTAGAACAGGAGGCAAGACCGACTGAAAGGTGATTGGGACATTCATCTCAACAGTGTCACGCACAGGGCGGCCTTAGTGTGTGTATGCTTGGGGGATATCCAACCTCATCTGAGAGAGCTCCGAAAGCCACCCTTTACACATTAGACCTCTCATCCTGTGTGAAGAGAGGCAGAGCGGTTGACATTAAGCGCCAATCACGTGACTTATTTTCACACTGCGCACCTGGGTCTGAGCACCGGGAGGGAGGGGGGAGCTTGAGAAGATGTTCCTCTGGAGACCCCAGCTGGCCCCTTCCAGGGTCCCGCTCAACTCCCCCCCCCCGGCTTTTTGCTGCCCTCTGTCAAGTCCGTGGCGGTGCGTGAGCACGAGGATCAACTCCATTTAGATCACTGCGCGAGGTTTGCCTCTCGGGAGTAGGCTCAATTCCACTCGGCCACCGGGCCCTGGCAGCAGCAGGATCCGTGGCAGGCCGCCTGGTTTGAACTTGTCCGTGGGGGAAGGAACGCGTCCCTCCCCCTGGAGCCGGCTGCGCTGTGTCTTCGACACCTACCGAAAACAGGGTTTGCTTACCAGTAACTGTTGTTCATCTGCGTTGCCCTGTGCAGGCACGCATGGGATCTGCGCACGCGCAGGCCTGCCGCAGAAGATTTTTTTCTAGCTTGACAACTAGTGGGAGGAGCTTCCCCTGTGCGCCAATGAGAGCGCTTCCCTCCAATCAATGAGGCGCTATAAAGGGGAAAGCTCCACACACACACACACACCCTCAGTTCTCCCGCAGCCGCCACGAGCCTTATATACTATTAAACATAAAGTGAGAGACACTTTCACGCGATGTGATGTGCAGTTGTTGTCGGTACTTTTGGTGGTGGTTTCTTTGAGACTGGCTCTGAAGCTGCGGGGTTTGCCAGCAGCCATGTAGGCAAAGGGCACTTTCTGCCCCGGCCGGTCGCACTCACAGAGTCCTCTGAGCCCCGATGTGGACGAGGGCCAGGAGCGCGGGAATCAGCTGTAGTCGGCCCCACAGCAGATATAACTTCGCTGCTGCTGCTGCTGGGATCTGAGCCGCTGAGAGAGCCTTCTCCCACAGAAAAGCCTTCAGGCCCGCAGCCCTGTCAGCTCTCGCTTTTGAGGTAAATTTTTTACAGATCAGACATGAACCAGTATTGTGTCCTTCACCCAGACAGACAATACACAAGTCATGGTCCTCTGTCTGTGTCAATTTGGTGGGACATTGGGCACATTTCTTGAATAAAGACGTTCTGACAGGAATTGTACTGTGAAGATTAGCCAGGGAACTTCCAAGCTGGGGCAAGGCAAGAACTGAGTGAGAGTGGGTGTGTGCGCGCGTGTGTGGAGCTTTCCCCTTTATGGCGCCTCCTTGGAGGGAAGCGCTCTCATTGGCGCACAGGGGAAGCTCCTCCCACTAGTTGTCAAGCGAGAAAAAACCTTCCACAGCGCAGATCCCATGTGGGACTGACTGCAGAGGGCAACGCAGATGCACGGGGGCGGCTCTCAGGCAGGAGGGTTCGAAAGGCACCGTCCTCCGGAGGGGCGAGGGTGGGGGGGAAGCACGTGGCTGCGCTCCGTCTGGCCCTTTAACCGCCTCTCAGCCGCTGCCCCAACAAAGTGGCCGGGAGAGGCGGAAGAGAGCGGCCCGCGTCGTCAAGACGAGCCCGCCGCTCTCTGGAGGCCCCGCCCCTCCCCTCCCCACACTCAGAATCGGCCACGTAGGACGCGCCGGAGACGGCCAATCAGGAAGAGGCGGGTCCGGGCAGCGCCCAATCGTGTCCCTCCGGCGCCCGCCTCCCAACTCCCCCGCGGCCAGCCCAGCCCCCTGGAACCAGGGGCAGCCTTCCTCGCCCAACCAGAGGCCGGCCGGGCGGCTGCCGCCAAGGGCGCTCTGCCCAATGAGCGGTGGCTGGGGCCCGCGCAGGCGCAGTGGGGCAGCTTGGGCTGCGTCCGGCGACAGGCACGGCGCTCGCCTCCCGCCCTCCCTCCCGCCGGCGTGAGGTAACGGCGCGGCCGAGGGCAGCAGACGGGTCGGTCGCCCATGCCGGGGCTGCGAGGCCCGCGGGCCCGGCCTCTCCTCGCAGTCGCCGCCGCCGCCGTGCTGGTGTTGGGGCTGCTCCTGCCCTCCTGCGTCCCGCTGAGGGCGGCGGCCGGGCCGGGCGGGGCCGCCGC